GAGAGAGAGAGAGAGAGAGCAGAGACTCCGCAGGCGCAGCGAAGGCCTCACGCCCAATCAAAGAGAAGAAGAGCTTGCTAGGTGGAGTCTTTGCGCCGGGTGCTCTACTCGGTGCAAGTTTGCGCAGCCCCACCATGTTACTGCTGTTTTGCCTGGGTGGAAGGTTCAAGACGAAACCTCTGCCAAGATGCTGGCCTTGGAGAGGGAGAAGGCTGCATGTCCAAGAAAGGTGTTGAAGACTCTTCCATCCTCTGAACAAGGACGGCATTCAGTCAGAGCTGAAAGAGGCGATCCGATCACTCAACGCCAAGCAGGCAGGCTTATCGCCTGGTCACCAGTACTGCTCAGGAAAGCTACCTAGTTCATTTGCTTACATACGAAACACTGAGCTGTTTCACGTTGGTGCTTCTACGCACCTGCACAGCTTCCAGCTAGGCAGTGCCATCGTGCCGTTCTTTCTGCCACGCTCGTGGTGGGTGGAGACTTGTCACTCGAAGATTACAGCCGTCTCCAATTTTCTCTGCACTCTGCCTGTGCGAGACTCACAGATGACAGATTCGATGAACGCGGATAACTAATGTGGGGGATAAATAATGAAAATAAGGTTGAGTTACTCGTGCGGAAAATTTGCAGATTTCTTGGTGGGGTGCAACACAATGACTTGAAGGTGCGCAAGGGCAGCAAGAATGCTTGAGCAAGCTGTTTCAACAGACGTCGAGGTCTTGAAATCGACCAGTGGTTTTAATTCCATGTAGCACCGTCTGTTGCCCATCGCTTCGCGGATGACTTTTGCATCTCGTTACCTTCTGCCTTCAGGCCCAGCTTGAATCGACCGACAAGGACGTGGTTTGCTCGAGGCTAGACGTAGTCGGAGCCACACTCGGTTGAGGTCGTAAGATGTCGTAAGCCCGTATGCATCCGTGTGCAGCTGTCTTTTGTCCTTCTCATAGTGATGGTGTGCTCTCTTGGAGCCCTTCGCAGGCGGTTCTCTTACCTTCTCATGTAACCCTCAAGTTCCCAGTTCCCAGGTGTAAACGGCATCTGCTGACATCGCATGGGGGCCTGTAAGTGATGCATGCTGCAGGGAGGTTGGGATGCCAGAACACCGATTCCTTTCTTGGCTCGCTGTTCCGTTTCTTCTGAGTCTGCTAGTCTGCTAGTCATACTGAGTCTAAAGAGCATGGTTGAGTGCATGGTGAATGAAGTTACATCTCGAGTCAGGACCTGCAGCGCTTGAGGCCAGACGATTTGCTGGCCTTGGATGGGTAGAGTTCGGCATTCGTGTCAGGTCGGAAGCGCAAGAAGCTGCAGCTGCTGGGGCCTTGTGCATGCCGGGTGCACAGATCACATCCTGTCTGGTCCGAGGTACTGGAAGCCAAGCAGCAACTATCCAAGGAATTGAACGAGGATCGGCATTTCAACGATGATCATCTCTCGGGCTTGTGCAGACAGGTGACCGAGGCCCTTGAGGCTGCTCTGCGCACGGAGGCCCCGGGTCCACACATTTTGTGGGCAGGCACATGGCATGGGACAATGCAGAGGCTACGCTCACCACCAAAATTGAGGATGCTGCGCAGCGACATCAACAGGCCGGAGAAGCAAGGGTTTGCTGCTTATCCAACAAGAGCATCAGCCATGAACTGCTGTAGGAGAAGCGCGATCTGGAGCTTCAGGTGCACCGACAGTTCTGCCCAGCATGCCTGTGTGCTTCCACTTTGGTGGGCAGGTGCTGGACAAGGATTCCCGGCTTGAAAAATTCAAGCTGGACTTCGAGGTGGGATGCCGCATATTCTGAGGGCAAGTCCGTCACACAGGGGGCTAAGCGTTCGAGCCCGGGCAGACGCAGCTTCGCATCTCACAAAGTCGACTCGCCGGAGAGCTGAGCAAAGAGAAGGCCCCGCTTCTTTTTGGACCGCTTGGGGCCGCCGGTCGGACCTGCAGAGACATGTAGCTGGCCGTGGTGTCGAGGCTAAGGCGGACTTAGCCGCCGCCTTATTACCTTGACTTGCTCGTCTGTCTCGTCCTGCAGCCCGAACTCGCCATGCTGGCCATGGCCCAAGCAATTTTAGATGTCTATAGATTCACGAATGTGCCGTTATTTGGAGCATCCGTCTGTCGACTTCATGCTAAAACATGACTTGGGAAATCGACGTACCGCAAATTGGAGATTTCAGATGTCTACAGAGTGTAAAAAGTCCATCTAACGTCCCGTGAACTCGTGGCACGAAGACCATGGGCAGCCGGCGGCTCAGTGCCTTTGTTCGGGTCTTCTGGCGTTTCGAACCCGCGAAAGCAAATGAATCTGTGAACATGCGCCAGGCGGCGCTTCGAAGAAGGCCTGGGGACGAAGGCTGCGGTCCTTGTCACATGCTTGTCTTTGCTACGTGTTGCTGAGCTTGGCGCTGTCTTTGTTTAGCCGATGCCAGGTTTCACATCACATCAAACGTGCCTGACCCTACCGGGGAGACGTGCGCCTGCAAACTAAATGATACGGTAGAGATGGTATGCCGTAGCACGTTTTGCCCCAGAGCAAGTGCGACAAATCCGACAGGTATCAGCAAATCTTTCCTGTTTGGACCATTGCGGTCTCAGCCCCGTACACGCTGTGTGACTGACGGTGGACTTTCGTAGTTCGTGCAAGGTCACGAAGAACCAGAGACAGTTGGCCACAGCAACCAGTGACAACAGGATCAATCTCTGGTCCATTCCTTTGCAAGTCCTTGCTTGTAGTTTTCTTACTGCACAGTTCACGCCCGATTGGACATTGGGCCGGCAAGGTGCCTTGTTACACATCAGCTGCTTGCTCCTCTCATCGGACATGCAGACACGGCCCTTGGCTCACAAGCAGTCCAGCGTGATAAGTCAGTGTCCGTGAGAGCAAATGTCTCCCCCGTACCAAGATTTGGCGCTTGGCCTACTCACCTGATGACTTGCTACTGGCATCCACGAGTGCTGATGGCACAGTGCGGTTGTGGGAGGCGAACCTCTCTGAAGACTACGCTGAGCGCGCAGTTGAGCTGTTCGCTTCAATTTATGTATGTGCGTCGCGTGTTTGTTCTGCCGCCTGTTTTACACTCCGCATGTGGCAGCTTTAGCAGAGATGCAAGAACAAACACGAAGCTCATTCAGAGACATTCAGAGCCACTGTAAACTGAGTGTTGTGCATGTCCAGCCTCATGTGGAGGGAGGTCCATGGCACAACAACTGCTCAGTAAATCGTATATATGAGCAATGCCCCACGCGGCCGGGTCCTTCTTGGAGAGAGCGTCTTGCAGGCAGCGGCGCGCAGTCGTTAGCACAACATGGGTTGCAGCAGCAGCCAATTGCGGCGCTATGGCAGGCATGTCTGGAGCAGTCGTGCCTCACAGTGCCTTGGCCACCCTAACATCTGCGCAAGCGTAGAAGTTCGTCGCATGCGTGGGCCCCGTCTGCACGCACCGAGGCAAACGCTCGGGGAGCATTGTTCGGAGACGTGAGCGTCCAGGTCCGAGCATCTTCGATTGTTCGACACCACTCAGCCTGTTCTTGGCATGCCTTTGCCCTCAGTCTTGACGGGAGAGAGCCACGATGCCTCTCACACGGGATTCCAATGAGCACTGCGCCCTGTAGTTCTAGTACAAACTTGCAGCAAGAGGCTTCCCAAACCTTCCCAACGCGCGTGCGTGTGTGTGTGTGTGTGCGCGCTCCCACATGCTCCCACCCTCCTTGAGCGGATGTTGGTTTTGAGAAAGGGAAGAGAGACTGCGACAACTAAATTGCTGTTGTTTACAGCCTTGACGATGATGACCGCGGAAGATCTATAGGGGTGATTAGAGGTGCGACTTCACACACACTATCTGACCGCCTCCCTTACTTGCGGGGATGCCGGCCAACATTTACGGGATGAGTTGATTAATTCGTGTTGCTCAGATGTTTGTTGCATCCAGACCCTTGGCGTTAAATAACGCCAAGAGTCGCAGCGTGCAATTTTTCCTCGACCCTGCTCACGGAATCTCTGAATTTGCAGTGTTTCGGCCACCTACTATCTCTCTCTGTGAACTTGGAATCTACCCATGCAGAACCTGTTGCCTCGGGTGACCAAGCTCGCCAACGAATGGAATCTAGTCGTATTGGCTCTCTCCATGATGATAGCCACTCGAGCCGCCCAGATCCGGGAAGCCCGGCGAAGATCAACTGCCGCCGGAATCGATACTCTCGACTCTCGAAGAGTGTGTACGGTGCAAGCACGGAGCAATCAAGAGCACAAGCACTCAAAAGTAGAGCCTTGAAGGTGCCCACCACGGAGTTCCATGTCAACGTGTCTGAAGTTCGACTTCAGTCTAAGGTGGGAACCTCCTCTGAGCCCTAGGCCATTGGGCACAGGGGCGCGCGGCGTGCTTTCTAAGGTGCACGCGCGAGTTTCGTCCTCTAACGGCTCCAGCGTACACGCGCGCGTTTCGTCTATAACTTGCCCACGCGGTGCCGGAAACCTTCGCCGGCGCGTGCTTTCTGGGGCCCTGGGGGGGTTTGGAGGGACTCTTACGGGAAGGGCGGGGCGAGGGCCGTCCGGAACACGAAACCTTAAAGCGAAGAAGGCAGAGCAAACCCTGAAGTTGTCCCGGAAATTGAGCCCTAGACAAGTCCGGCGGAAGATGAAACCCGAAAGCAAGGAAGGCAGAGCAAATCCTAAAATCGTTTCCAAGAAGAAGCCCTCAAGTAGACCCAAAGATGCTGCCTGGCAAAGCCCGAAACCCTAAAGGAGCTCTTGGGTGAGAAGCCGCTGGCAGAGCCGTAAACCCTAAAGGCCTTAAATGGAGGTAGACTTGCTGTGTGGGAAGCACTGCATGCCAGCCGCAGACCCTTTTAGTCTAGACACCACTTGCACAAGCAGCTATCACGAAGGTCAATGGTTCAAGCTCACTGGACGATGATGTTGCTGCAGGTGCCTTAGGCCATAGCATGACTGATCCGCTGTGCATTCCGGACGTCGTGCACTGAATCTCCAGTCATGCCAAAAAGATCCAGCGATCCCTAGGTTTGGAATCTGCAGATGGCTACCAGGAGTGGCCCATCGGGCACTCATCTCAGACAGACTCTGGATCAACATTGACATTATATTCTATTCGCAACTTACCATGCCTGATTTCAGCGAGTCGATGTGACGTGCAAGGTTGTAGTGGTTAGTTGCTGTCAGGACGTGAGCAGACCGAGGAAGAGTCTGCAACCAAGACAGAGTTTCGAGCAGCAGGAAGCTCTGTCCAACGGCACGCCTTCAGTGTTCCTGGTGGCAGGTTCGTGGCCGCCCAACAGCAAGCTGAGGCTCAGCATCTGTAAGTTCCCGCGCGTCCCATCGTGACGAAGAGACACATGAAAAGCACATGCATCTCCGGAAGCGATGCTCACACAACGGCAGAAACTCTCCAGCAGGTTTGTCCTGGGCAGGGGCTTCGATTCTGTTGCTTGCCCGCGAGCCACTGTTGGCGGATAGTATCTTTCCTAGGTACAAATGGCACCATCTGACAATTCTTGACCGGACTCTAGACGAAGTGTTACAGTCAGCAAAACACCTGATACATGCATTTCCCTTTTGGGGAAGTTTGAAGATGGAGTGAGAAGGGTCGGTAGCACGGCACAACATGTCAGACGTAGGCTCTATTTCTTCGACAGGCAATTGCTCGAACCGTTGAGCTGCAGCTGCATCAACTTTCAGTGCACAGCCCTTTTAGACATTGTGGAATCCTCGTAACTTTCCTGACTGCGTAAACTGCTTGCGCCCGTCAAACTCGTCCGACGAAGCTCCCGCATCCTGCACTTTTGCTGACCCGACGGTCAGTTCCTGAGTTACGTTGGTGTTCTAAACATTTCTAAACCCCAGCCTCTTTATCATTCACCGTTGACTAACAAAGCAGTTCAATTTAAACTCTACGGCGCTCGCCTCGGCTTGCCGGAGAGCAGCACGCTGATTGCCGAAAGAGGAATAGGGGATAGTAGGGGAAGGGGGGCAAGGGGGAGGGGGGAGGGGTCGAAACTGTGGGCCAACAAGCGGTACTAAACTTTCGGGAGGATTGATTAGGCCTGAGGCCTGTGGTCTCGGCGGATATTTTGAGCAGGTTTCGGACCCCCCCAACAACGGCACTGCGCAAGCATATGCAAGGGCGGGCGCAAGGGCGAATTAGGTCAAGCAGGGCCTTGATTTCCGAATCTCAAACTTGTGAATAAGGCAGACCAAAAGCTGCACCGTAGAGACGGCCTCGTGCACCATTTCCGCCAGGCAATGTCCGAGCAGGCCACTGCGCCTTGGTTTTAGCGTTTCTACTGAGACGCTCAGCCATGCGCTGGACAGGTGTCGCGGTCTACCAAAGTTGTGGGCCGTGAGCCCAGTCGCAGCATGCAAGGCAGCCGGGGCTACTGCAATCGACGTTCTAATCTGCTCGCCAAAAACTGGACCTTGGGTGGTGCTGTGTTGCCAACCGCGGCGGCAGCAGGTTGCCCCGCACCTAGAAGATCCTGTAGGTATCTGCAGGTTGTCTCGAGTCTTAAGCTGGTTGTACGCCACGAAGCTGCCTCATGTTTCGTTGACACAGCGGGTCGATGGCTTTCCGGGACCTCCGAAGGACGCAGCCTTTCAGGCCAGATAGGTATCATGCTGCCTTCCGAGAAGGGCTTCTGAGGTTGCTCTCTGATCAGAGACCCGGCCTCACGGCCTCGCCGATTTACGCAGTAATTACGGAGATGGGCAGTGATGACAAGGCTGGTACACTTCAAGTCCCTCGGAAGTTACCGAAGCCGCACGCTGCTGAGATGAGGGGCAGACACTGAAGTTCTGTTGCAAGAATGACAAGTTCTCGGCAAGCTTGGGAGAAGGGAAGTCTCTCAATGCCCGAAAGGACATGAGGCTGCAACTCCAATATCAAGAGAACTTTGCCGGCTCCGATCCCAGCTTGCCACTTCTCGCAGCCCATGTGTGGGGAAGAACAGTATGCAGACTACTGCGTCGCCCTGGTCTTTGGCCGGGCTTCGACTGCAACAGGGACCAGGCACCTCGGGCTTGCACTCGGCGCTCTGTTGCTTCTCGCATATGAATTGAGCGGAAGGCAGACAGTAACGGCCTTCCGAACATCCGTGTCTCGAGGACATCCTTGCATCCTCCTGATGTGGTGCCTTTATATTCTTATCAGGAACATTGGTCCTCGTGACCGTAAAGGCACGTCCGTAATGTGAAACCACTTGGTCCGATTGGATTGGCTTCGGTTGGGCAGGTCGAAGTCGTTCCGTCAGGGCCTGAAGCTTGATATTTAGAGCCACCTGGGTTGGCTGTGCGCATCGTCGACCTGTCGACTAAGTAGAGCCCAAAGATTTGAGCTTGATCTCGCCCATGAGTGCCTCCTGGATTCCTATACTCATTTGTCAATGCCAAGGCTGTGTAGCCTTGTCGCGCAGGCCAACCCGCGCTGCACATAAACTTTAGTGTTCCGGATACGTCCTTTGGTAAGCTTCTTCGCGCTGTCCCCAGCTCCGAATCGGGAGATCGGGCGATTGTCACCGAAGAATGGGGGAGTGCCATGCGGGATTACGGTACCCACTGTCCGTTGATGTCTGTTTGATTTCGTTGGTTGTCTATTCGCGGGCTGGGGTGCGGAGTAATGACGTGTCCGCCCCGGCCATGCTGCGGAATCTTTATTGCTCTATTGCGCTTGTCTTTTGCCGTGGGTACATGATGTACAGCAATGCATGGCAGCATCACGGTTGCGATGCTACTTTATGCGACTGGTACTTTTCTGCAGCCTTTTTGTGTAATTGGCCTCCGTTTGCCATGAACGAGCACAAATCCTGACACCTTATCTCCCGACGGAACAATGCAGGATTGCTTCTTGCAGCTTTGTTGCCGGCCTACCGTGCGGGCATTGCGCCAGGCCCATCTTGCATTGAATTGTCGCCTTGTACTCTCTGCTTGACCTGCACCCAAGATCTGTTGAAGGTGCTTTTGGACATGCAGCAAGCAAGGCATCAGAAGACTGCCGAGCATACTTTAAAGGCCACTTGAATTGAAGGAGTCCCTGATTGTCCTTGTAACAGTGGAAGGACAAAATCCACCTCACCACCGAGTTGCAGCTGCTCTGTGGGCAGTACGAAGGTCTGAACAGTCTGAATTCGAGATGCCACGTCCTTGCACAGCTTTGAGAGGACTCTGTCTGATGCTGGAGTCGAAGGCGCACGCTCTGCTGATACCTGATGACGTGATATGCTACACGAGCGGCCTACGTGAGCGCATCGACAGCACCGTGGCCTGCAGGTCCCTGTGCTGGCGGACTTGCTCTGTGATGTGCAGCACAACAGCCAGGCGAGAGCTCGTCCGCATTCGGCTCGGACAGTCGAGATTGCCAGGGCTGCTCTCATTTGGACCCTGCAGGTGCTGGAAGAGCTTTTTGCAAAGAAAGCGCAAAGAAATTCTCAGGCGCTTCTCTTCCTACCGAGAGGGGGAAGGGGGGGTGAATAATGTCCCGTTTGCACCACATCTCAAGTGGTGGATCTCCACTGCAGCAGACTCAAAGGATCTTCTGTGCAGAATGGTCATTGTTACGTCACGACTTTTCCAGTCCGGTCTTGGCACAAGCCCCAGCCTACCACTACCCGCTATGCTTGCTGCTCCGCAGGTATGTCAGCAATACTCTGGACATCCCAAGCCCACTCACGCTTGTGTCATGCGTTCGAGGCGGCTCGTAGAATATATGTAGAATCCCTGGCGGTTCTGGTGCCTCCTAAACAACAGGAGGACTTCTGAACTGCCCCTATGCTCAAAAATACCACAATGCACAGTGTTTTCCTCCTACGCAGATGAAAGCCTGCCAGGGACAGTGATCTGGGAGCCTCCAAAGCAAATCTAGAAGTGATCTCCGTGCGAATCCGCACACTTTTACGATTTTGCAGCCTCTGACACTGAGAAATGCCTTGTGCAACAGCGGCGACACCGGGTCACCTTGCAGGAGGGCTCAGCTCGAACACCCGCAAGGCCTTCAAGGCAGGTTTTTGCGGAAGCTCCGGCCGAAACGTCCCTCGGTTCGTGCAGAGCGAGGCCAGCGGCTGGTCCGGCCGGCAACCATACGGCAAAGCTTTGCTTGTTTTGTGCAAGTTTCGCGTCGCTGCCGAACAACTTCCAGCCCATGCAGGAACGGTGTTGTTTGTTGTGGCAGGTATCTGCCCGTCCGTCGTCCATGCAGCAGCCTGACAGTGGAGGCAGTGACAGTGACAAGTAACGTGCTTTCGGTGCCATGCTGTATGACACTGCATGCAACTTCTCTCTCTCTCTCTCTGTCTCTCTCTGTCTCTCTGTCTGTCTCTCTCTCTCTCTCTGTCTGTCTCTCTCTCTCTCTCTGTCTCTCTCTCTCTCTCTTTGTCTCTCTGTCTNNCTCTCTCTCTCTCTCTCTCCCTCCAACATCGTGCCGCAGCACCATCTGGCTAACGTGAAGCCGCTGAAGCCGTTACAGCTTCACCAGCGCGCGGTAGCAATCTTGGCATGTGCAGTTCACTGATCAGCCTTCTTTTGATGTTGGAGAGCTTCTCAAAGCAGTAGTCCTGATGCAACAGCTTATCGGGAAATCTCGCACCCCATCGAAGCCGCGTCCCGGGAGCGTGCGTCGAATGGGAAATTCCCAGACTGGCAATGGAGGCGTGCTGCTAAGAAGGCTATTTTTCAATCGCCAGAACTTTGCAGCTGCGTGAGGCAACTTCAAGGAGGTCCGGGTGGTCCTTGCAGGGATGCCCGCAGCAGGCGCCAAGTCGCTGGCGACGCGCTTCACGAGCAACGTGTGGCTCGAGCGACCACCTCCCGGAGCAGGTGGCAATCTGATGAGTCTTAAAGAGCACAGCCAGCATATCATACCGGCGTAGCGGCGTAGCGAGAGGCATAGCAGGAATTCCCGATTTGACTTGTGGAGGGCCAGTTGGCACTTCTCGATCCTGAGGTTGGGAGCCACTCGCTCGACCTTTCGAGAGGATTCAGCTGCTGCTACTTCCTGTTGGGTCTTCGCAGGGCCTTTGGGAGCAGCTCGATTCGCAGTGCTGAAGTCTGCAGGGTTTTCAGCTCTTCCAGCAGCTCAGGCACATCACTGGAGCAGACGTGCTTGCCTTCGTGGTTGATGCAGACAGCTTTGATGAGGCGCGGACTCACTACAGTTGACTGGAGCTCAGCATGGTGATAGCCGCGGTACTCTGAGCCGTGGCAGGCGCCCTTCGGCAGCTCCTTCAACAAAGCTCTTAGCTACCTGCCCGAAGGCGCACCTGTCATTCTTTTGGTGAACAAGGCCTGGCCACGACCAAACGAGAATGGATCCTGGTTGGCTGAAGTCCTTAGACCGTGTGCGACAGGTGGATGCAGACCCAGAAGACGACAGCAAAGAGGCCAGACTTTCCGTGGCAAGCAGCTCTGGAGCAGATGTTCAGGCACGGACGAGGGAATTCATCGTTGTAATGTTCCCTCACCGAGAGCATTCGCGATTGAAGGCCAGGTGTAGTGCTGCTGCGGCTTCCTGCACGGTGGCAAGCACAGTCCGCCAGTGCAAAGCAACTTGGCTGAGTAGGGCACATGCCGTACAAATCTCATGCAACTTGCTCGGGACTTTCGCAACCCCAAGCCCCAAGTTCATTCTGGAAGGCATACCTCGTCAGCGCAAAGACCGGCTTTGGCTCCGAGGAAGCCATTCGAGCGATGTGCATCTTGGACGTGCACTGTGCACTCTGTGCCGGGATTTTGCGAATGAGACATGAGACACTGCAGCAGAATGTTTCCAAGAGTTGCCGGGCACGCTGTGCTTCGTCTCGGACACGAGCGAGAGCAGATGGCCGGATTCAGTGTGTTCTTTCATGTTGTTTCCTGGACACCCTGTAGTTGTAACTACTGTAGCAAGGCTCGTGTTGTCTCTCGGCGACTTGCATATCAGCCGTTCGTGACATTGCACGTTTTAAATCATCTTCTTTTCGTTCCCTTGTCGCAGGTAGCTCTCGAGTCCCCGGTGTACTGTAAGACCGCAAGCACCAGCAACACGCGATGCAGTGGCTCATTTGTTTTTTTCACCCGAATTTTGCCATGCAAAGTCGCACATTCATCGTGGTGAATTTTGAAGCGGTGGTGTGAGGCTGGTGACATTGAACATGGCATGGTGCTGCTGAGTGTCTCATGATCTCGCTGGCAGACAATCGAATCGTAGAAGGGTGGGTGTATGTCGGGAAGTCGCATGAAACTCACACCGGTTGTCTTGAGTGGCATTGTGCATACATTACGTAGTGGAGGCACGGGACTCGCCCGTGTTGTGCGATTTACTGCTGGGTCGGGTCTGTCTGTTGCTGTCCCATGTCTTGACGGGACGTTGCATATTGACTGAAGGCCTCGCTGTTGACGATGTCTTTTGGACGACATTTACATCCCACTTTCCACATGGTACAATCTGGTTGAACTTGCCGGCTCTGCGTGGATGCATGCCGACTTCACCACATGTCGGGCACACCAGTCGGTAGATACAAGTTACAAGCATCGCCGCATCGTCTCTGCATCACTGGTTGCACCCTGTCACTGCAACGGTCAGTAGTGCTTGCGGAGCGCCAGCCGAACAATCATCGTCTTTGAGCTCCCTGTCATGTCTTCATTGAAACTGCAGCTTACGCTTTGTAGGAGGCTTCTTCAGGAAGCCCGGAGTCGCAGCTCAGCGTGTCACCCGTGGCCCTATGGCTCGAACCAAGCGGGGGCCTCGAGCAGATCGAGCACATCAAGCAGAATGTGCCCAAGTACTACAAGAAGAAGCTCTTTGAGACCGATATCGACGGCTGCATGTTCTGGCTGCAAAACTACGAAGGACGTCCTCTAAGGAAGACGTGGTGGGTGTTGCGCACTGACGAGGGCTTTCGCAAGAAGCTCAATGTGTCGTGTGACGGCAGGAGAACGTAAGCTACCCGGACCGTTTGCGGTGCAGCTGGCGGGCCACTGGACCAGACAGTGGCAACACGAGCAGACCGTCGACGACACCCATCTACGCCATGGCCCAGGAGATGGCAACGGACGAGGAAGTCAAAGCAGAGACTCTTTAGGGGGTCCCCGTTCCAAAGGAGCACAAAAGCTGTTGCACCGGCTCCACAAGGCAGCTGGGCACCCGCCCAACCGAGGACTAGCGCGCATCTGGAGGGACCGGGGAATGCCCAACTGGGTGGTCGAAGAGGCCAAGAACTTGACGTGCCAGGCCTGTGTCGACGCCAAGCGTGGTGAGCAACTGGTGTGGGACCAAGCCCCAGCCATGGCAATTTGTTGGTATCGATGTCTTTGAGCGAAGGCCCGATTCCTCTTCTTGATCGATTTGACAATAAAAAAGAATCTGGCACAGAGATATTCGCCTCTACCTGGCTCCAGCACAGATCTGGACGTGAATGGGTGCTGTGTGATCCACAAGCCAGCCTGGCGTATGGAGACCTTCCGGAGTTGCTATCGAGTATTGGGATAGGCCTCTCCCTGACACCGGGCGAGGCACATTGACAACTTGGTGGCATAGAGGTGGCGGTCAAGGCCACCAAGAAGACGATGAACAAGATGCCAAGAGCCAAAGGAGTGGATCCAGCGCACTACGAGAGGGACGAGTTAGTCCTGGACAAGCTTTTACCAGACTCCACAATGCGGCCCCACGGCCGGCGAATTCGGTCTGTGTGTGACGAAAGGCGACTTTGAAGCCTCGAAAAGGAGTGAACCCAGACCCAGATTTATTGGGCCAGGGCGCATAGCTCTGTTCTTCTGAGGGGAGATCATCTGTCTTGTAAGTCCTGATCGGAGCTTCTTTGTGGAGGTGTGCTCCAGAGCAACTTCGCTTCGCGAGCGAGCAGGAGGTGGTCTCGGAGCTTTTTGCTGTGCAAGACCAGCTCCTAGCCCTTATATCCGATGGACCGACGTGACAATCGAGGGCAAAGGCGTGGAAGAAGAGCTGAATCTACCCGAAGAACCTCTACCAGGTGGCGCGCCGGGGCCGCCGGAGGTCGAGCGATCTTTGACATCGGCACAGCCGCCGGCGGAGTGGATCCGAGGCATTGAGGATCGAGGCGGCCGGTACCTGGTCCGATCGGCTACGCGCGAGAGAGAGACGACTCTCATGGCAGGAGCACACGGCGCCACAACTCGTGGCGCACCAAGCTCTTCGTGTCTCCGGACAATATGCCCCTGCCAGTGGAGGTCAGAGTCAGACAGCTGACCGGCGGCAAGAGAGTGACGCAATGGATCCAGAAGGACTCAAATGCCAAAGGAAGTTTTGTGGATGACTTCTGAGTGGAAAAGCAAGACAATGTTTGGCTACAAACCGCCGACGCCGAAGCGAGTCCTGGAGCCAACTCCGGTGAAAGAGAGAGGCCGTAGTTGTGCAAGGTCATCTGGTCGAGAACCAGACCGGTCTCGGAGCGGACCACCCGCGACAGCAGCGAGCTCACAGCCCGGGACCGGAACGACTGAGGCTCGTCAGGGAGCCATCTCCTCAAAGCAGGAAGCACGCGTGGCGGTGAAAACAGAGTCCAAGGCCCAAGGCAGAATCCCAACCAGCTGAGGGATCCATGGAGGCAGAGGCCTCATCGGAGAATGCCTTGGCCGTAGAGGCTGATGTGGCTATGGTGAAGACACAGAATCCCGACCACCTCAAGGATCCATGGAGAACCCGAGTAATTCGACATGGCAGCAGGCGATACCGCTGATTCGCTGAGGTGGCAAACTTCTACTTAAACGAGCAGGTGTATCAGCTCGTCAAGGACCGTATCAGAAAACTCGAGCGGCAGTGTCAAGAGGAGGAGTACATCAAGCAGATGAAGGCAGAAGAGAACGAGCACCGACGATCGGAGCACAAGTTGGTGCAAAAGCTGCTCGAAGCATGTGATGCCGGTGAGGAGGCAATGTTCATAGAGTTTGAGGTGGGCGATCTGAACGCCTTCGTGGCAGGCGGTGCGGTCTACAGCGAGGACAAGCTGGTCGGGCCCAACGCCGCTAAGGAGGTCAACTTCAAGAAGTTATCTGCCGATGAGCTGGCGAACATGGAAGAAGCAATGGACAAGGAGGTCAAAGAGGTGCTGCGCAGTCAAGCCCTTCGGCCTGCCCATTATTTAAGTTCGGTGAGGAAACCATGCGGGTTGCTATTATTCCGATGAGGTGGCTGCTCACATGGAAGCCACTCAGCGAGCCAGCCTCAGGAAGGGCGGCTTGATGAAGGCCAAGGCCAGGGTGATCCTCATCGGTTACAAACGCCCGGACCTCGAGAAGCGAGACGCCCGCACAGGTGCAACGCTGTTACAGACAGCCTCCGGTAGGCGATGAGTCGCTTGGGGCGCAATTTGCCCCTACAGGGAGCGGCGCTGGATGGGCACACGGTTGAGTGTACGGATGCCAAAAGCGCTTTTCTGCAAGCTGATGCAGACATTGGCGCCAAGAGGCTGTACACCAAAGGTGTGCCGGAGGTGGCACGTGCCCAAGGACTTCAGCCTGGCAATGCCGTGCTTCAACTTCCGCAAGTCCACGGAGGAGAGGCTACGTGGAAAGACGTGGTGGCGGTCCACTTTGGAGACGCAGGCCACAAAAGCCGTGGAGATGGTTCCTCTACGTGGGCCATCCTGAACGGGGAGGAGCTCAACCACAGGAACGCCGTGCAGCTGGCGGCATCAAATTGGTGACAGACTCGCGAGGGCTGTCGGACTCTGTGAGCAGCTCGGAGTCGCCACTCCTCGGCATGGCAAACAGCCGCACCGGAGTAGAAGTTGCGGCCATCCAGAAGGCCCTACGTGATGATGGACGGTGCTATCTCACATGGGTTCCCTCCGATATCAAACTGGCAGATTCGCTGACCAAAGCGACTTTGGAAGCCTACGAGGTCGCGGCCACTTATTTGGAGCTGAAGACGTGGGTGGTGAGATTCAACCACGACCTCGTCAGCACCAGGAAACAGTAAAGGCTGCGCAGAGCGACGGAGCTACAGGAGGCTGCTACCTCAACGTCCCCGAGCTCACCTGAGTGGGACCAATATGTAGAGGAGCTTTTCGAGCCTTCAATCCCACAACTCCGTGATTGAGCTAAGCTCGAAACGAAGTTTTGTGGATGCAGCTTACGCTTTGTAGGTGGCTTCTTTAGGAAGCCCGGAGTCACAGCTTAGCGAGTCAACGGCGGCCCCTTATGGCTCGAACCAAGGGCCCCCGTTGAGCCGACCGGAAACACGGGTCGAAAACATAGAACGCGATGCACCTATAGACGATTCTTCGAACTGGCGATGAAGAAATCGTTTTTCTTCCATTCGTTTCCATACTTATGTTTGTTTTAATCTCACCGTCGTCGACATCCTCGGCAGCATGAGCATTGCAATGGTCATCACTCATTCTTGAATTCTGGCCTTGTTCATCATCACCATCATCAGCGTTTGCATCTTCATCAGCATCAGCATCTGCATCTGCATCTGCATCTGCATCTGCATCTGCATCTGCATCTGCATCTGCATCTGCATCTGCATCTGCATCTGCATCTGCATCTGCATCTGCATCTGCATCACCAGCATCAGCATCACCAGCATCATCAGCATCATCATCATCATCATCATCCACAGCCTCGTCATCATCATCACCATCACCATCATCATCATCATCATCATCATCAAATCGTCATCATCATCATCATCCACAGCCTCGTCACCAGCATCATGTTCAGCGGCATCAACACCATCAGAGTCATAGCCATTCCGTGTCTGCATGATCGCTGCCCCGCCACGATCCCCAGCATCGCCATCGTTATCATCGGCTCTGGAGGCTTGTCAGGCCTCGCTCTGTGGAGGGCAGGCCTCTGTGAACCTGTTTAGGCTGAGGGCCCCTGTGGCCTCGGCTTTGGCCTCTGGGACTCGCCTCTGAAACCCTCTAGGACTCTGGGGGTTTCTGGGATCTGGGACGTGATCATCGAAGACATCGTCGTCAGCACGCTGCAGCACCGGAGCACTCTCCCATACTCTCCCGATCTGCATCTCCATCTTCAATGCCATCATCCTCGCGACAGTAGTGATGCCGATTGCGAGCTTCTGCAACCATTTGCAGCAATATCGTTATTGCGATATCATGTAGCAAACGGCAAAGTCGTTGCTGTCAAGATGATCGAAGACGGACTTTTGACCTGTCAGCTTAGGTGGAGTGCGCTTGATATTCTGATGCTGCAGCCTGGCCAAAGAATATGCCCGGAAGCTGTTCCCGAGATGGAACTTTGACTTTGTGTCGAAACTGTAGTTTCCTGGCACAGCGTTGTACAGACCAAAACTTGCGCGTGGCCAAAGATGCCACTACATTACACCATGTTGATCGTGAGCCGTGCACTGGCAGTGCAGTGCGTGACAGAAAGCACTAGTTTTTCAGCATCCTTGTTCTTTGCAGAGCGAAGCGATGTAGATGTGGTCGTGGCCTTGTGCTGAGAGGCCTGGTGCCAAGTGTGGGCGGACCAGCAGTCAGCGCCGAGGACAGGCCTCCGGAACTCAGAAAAGTGGACCCTTTGCTGTCAGACACTTGTAGCCAGCCTTTGCCAGCCTTCAGCTTTCCTCCGTCGTCGTTTCCAGCAGCCGGAATATTTGGTCTTCAGCCACGGAATGCACTCTGCAGATCCGTGCATGGACTAGCAGGCGGAAACGACTTGTGGAGCATCTGGGGACGAGGCCGGTGATAAGCCTGATAAGCCTTACTCATCTTGCGAAGGGCAAAGTTCGCCCAAGGTATGACACATGTTGGCCATGAGAACCCATTTGGGGCAAGCCGGCCGTGACAAGCTTGGCCTGAGAAGAACAAGATAGCAACAAACTGGGCCAAGGTCACAGGAATCATTTAAAGTTCCACAGATGCTCGAGCCGCACGAGAACTCAGAACTGACAAGAATGAATTACACGATCGAGCGTCTAGTCCTGGATAGCCAGCCACTTCTGAGCATCGAGTGCAGGAGTGTGATTGGCAACAACGCTGGCCTGAGTTCTAACTGTTGGGTATCACGGCATGCAATGCCAGCAAACAAGTCCAAGACAGGGCTGAGGGAAATGCATTCAGAACATGCCGTCAACCTGGCCGAAGCAATTGCTAGCCAGATCGACGCATGCGCAATCAAGATTTTGCGTTTGCAAGATTTCGATTTTGCACCATAAGATGTTGATCAAGGCGTCGTAAGAGACGCACCGTGCCAGGCATCAACTCAGCCACAGAAGAGAAGAAAGAAAGGCCCACCTTGCTCTTCCTGGACTTCGACGTTGTTCCGGCAGCAATTGAGAGCAGTTGCATGTCTGTGCTCGAGAATGACTTCTGCGCAGGCTTGGTGGAAATGCTGAGCAAGAGGCATGTCGGCTGTGGATGTTTGCAGCTTGCTGCTTCGTGCTGTCAGTCGGGCAATCACGGAGAGCGTGCCCTCAGGTGCCAGGGCCACTGTTTTGAAGTTGAATTGCTAGATTGCTGGTGCTGGTCATGTTGGGCCGGGCAGGAGCCTCCTCGGTGCCAAAGCGAGCACCCCGCACTCGAGGACTCGCAAGTGCCCTCAGTGCTCCGAAGGAGAGACGACAGAGGCAGATGCCTCAGCAAACAGAAAATGTCAAGGAGTGCTTGCTATGATGGATGATTGTTTTGGAAAGTCAGCCTAATCATTAGTCCCATTGGCCTTGAATCGGCATGAAGTCCTCGGATCTCTTCAAAGCGAAAGTATTAAGGTCGAGTGGAGCCTCGGACATGGCATCGGATCGGGTTGGAGCCATCGTTGCCACAGAGACTTCTGCGGACAAGCCCGAGCCTTTGTTGACATCGGCAGTTGGTCGTTGGTTGTCGTGGGCAGCTTGCGAAACCGCAGGCCATCTCTTCTTAAGCGGCGCAGACATATCGCGTCTGAGACGCAGGAGCATGCTAGGAGAACTTGATGAAGTCTTGGACCCCGTGCCAACTTAAAGTTTCAACCGTGGTTCAGCTGTGAACCCGTCTGACGGATGCGTGAGGAGAGCGTTTGAGTGACGGCTCCGTCGAGCCTGGTCAGAGGTGGACACAGAGAAGTTGCTTGAGAAAGTGATGGAGCAGGGATTCGACACTGCAGCGCTTTGAGCGCGATCGCCGCAAGCATCCACAGGCGACAGTTCTCAACAGACATGCAGAGCTGTTCCGCAACGCGTTCCGCAACGCTTTGTAGCCCTGGCAGCCTCGTCTCACGACGCGAAGGGTAGATGGTGTTCGGCCAAGGTGCCGGACGTTCGAGGGGTTTGAGTCCAGAAAAAATCCGAGACTCCCAATCAACTCGTATGCTGCGCAGTACTGTGCTGGAATGACAAAACTGATTTCATGTGCCGTCCCGTGGCAGGTAAGTACCGGCCTGCCTGTTATGATACTCCCCCGGAATCACGCCAATTGGGTTGTGCTGGCATGTTTTTGGTAGGACGATAGATGCATCTTGATAGCGCTGGCCATGATCTTGACACAGGTCTGGAGCTTGGCATGGTCCCCTGATGGGAGCAGGCTTGCTACTGGAGGCCTGCAGTGGCGGAAGGACAGTGATAGTTCTCCGCAACGTGGTATCTGCTGCCTCAACCTGGGAGGGGTTACCACCACTCCACGCCCTCATCCCACGATTGGGGGGACGTACCATCACCCCCTCGGGACAAAACAAAACCGCACCATGTTAATTTGTTTTGCTATTAGTCTTGTTCGTAAATTAGCAGAGCATTATTACAAGTAACATTATTGTTATTGTTAGGGGGGGGGGTGGTGGTGGGGGACATTTGTTGGGAGGCCGCGGGTGGTGGTGGTGGCGGTGGTGGTGGTGGTCTTGGGAGTCAGCAAAGGAAGGGAGAGGGGGGTGGGCTGGCCACCCCCGCCAAGCTTCAAGCTACCTCCCACAACTTGAGAACTCTCGAAGGACGTGTCAGTGTGGTTGCCATTGCACGAGTCACAGCATGAGTGCAGAATGTTGGCAGGCTCCGATGCCCGGATCTTGATATGGGATGCACAGGAAGCCATGAGCCCAGACATTGCACTGCCACAGCATTTCGTCTGGCAAAGTGGTACACACGTATCCAGTGCTCATCCAAGTGCAGGGACAGCCCATGTAGATTTTTTAATCTGAAAGTTAAATGTGGTAGCAGAATGCAGCAGTGTGACGGCAACAGGCTTGGTAGACTGATGCAAAGGGGTGCTATCAAAGTTTGTTCCAAGCGGCTGAGCCCAGAGGCAGCAGACGGGGCACAGCGGGTCCAAGAACTAAGTGCTCGAGCTGCGATGGACTGCCCGGAAGACGAGTGACTCCAGCTAGAAGGTTTTATTGAACATTTCCCAGCCCACAGGACCCCTCCTGGGCGCAAACAGCTGCAGAGGAAGCTGAGAAGGCCAAGTGTCAAGTGTGGTCTGGATTTCCTTTCCGATCTCCATCGTGCCTTTTCATGCAGGCCTGCAGAATGTCTAGATTCATTTTTTGCGCGAGACTCCGTCGGCTCAGCTGTCCGGGTTTCCCCGCCCGCAACCATCCGCAGCCTCAGCAATCATTGCTTTCCCATTCGGCATCTTCACAGGAGTAGACTCGGCGTAGAAACCAAGTGGTGCAGTCTCATGACCGTAGTGGCGGCGAAGCCGCGATGGCTTGGACAAAGGCAGAGATGCCTGTGGTTTCGACCTGTCCATGCTGTGCGCAGTCTGTTTTGGTGAGCATGTCGCTTGTCAATAGAAGCTGTTTCTGGCTCAAGTCTGTCTCGCATTCTGCCATGGCATGCAGCTCACATTTCCGAAGGCGATGCTCAGACGTTGGCCAAGTATCCTGAACTGTGTTGCGCTTGGAGTATCGTTTTTCAGGCCAACATGCCAAGGGTGAGCAAGTCAAGCATGCACATTGACGTTTGACTCCCGTTGTTTGGTTCGCAATGCGTTCCGGCAAGGTGTATAGACAAGGCAAACTGAGGTGACTTTAGCTGATTCTCATTCAAGGCACTGAGCAGATCTTTCTCCCAACGATTCCGGAGATCGTTTTCCTCAGAGGCTTGATGCTTCTTTTGTTTATGGCAAGAGCGCGACTGAGAGCTGAGAGGCACCCATCTCTGTAGTCCAGGCCGTGGCGGCGACGGTGGCGACTCCTGCGCCTAATGGGATTCCGCAGCCAATTCAACCCGTTCTGTGGGGCACCAGTATGAAGGTGACTTGGTCAAGTGCTGTCCGCTGAAGCAACAATAAACTTGACGACAAGGAGTCGGTAGCCATGGCTCAGGGGAATGACATTTAAGAGGTTTGGAACGATTAGAAGAGCTGCTCTTCTATCCATCGACGGGGTACAGGTTTTCTCGAAGCCAATTGGTTTTGTGGGTAGCTGGACTAGTTTTGGTAGAAGGGTTCAACTTTAGTAAAGCTGCTGGGTCAAGGGTTGAGCGTTTTGTATGATCGAGCCTTGCCGCATGAGTCAAGCTCAGCATGCTGTAAATACACCGGACGGGAAGATGTGCCCAAGTGCAGACTCATGGTTCGAAAGGACAAAGTTGCTTGCATCATAGATCTTGGCCCCGTCTTGCGAGCAACGGACATCTGCAGTGCGAAGCCAGGCGGAGCAGATAAAGCCTGTGCAGCTCTGTCGCTCGCAGCATCCGAAGCAGCAACGCTCAAGTGAGAGAACTGTTGCTGAACCATCGCCATCATCGTTTCCGGGCCTCGTTTAGAGTTTAGATTGCCATGCTGTGCACACTGCATCCCGAAAGGGTTTGCCCAGATCAATTTCAGTATGAGCGCGACAACCACAGGCACTGGCACATGCAAACGCAGAAGTTGGCACGTGCAGGCACTGGTGAAGACGGAGCGTGCTGAGGGCCTGACACTGACCACGGTCCCAAAGCCTGCCGTCGGGCCAAACGATGTTCTAATTGAGATCCAGAAGATTCTCAGCTTGAATCAGGTCACCACCTAGGCAAGCTTGCGTCATTTGCGTCATTTCTCTCAAGCATCCTGGTTGCGGTCTGCAAGTTCAAATTGCCAAAGACAGACCGTCTCGTGGACTCACTGCTCGTGTCAGAAGCGCAAGCAACACTAAGACCTCGTTGCGAGCTGTGCATCAGATGTGCACGCAGCTGCCACTACCTGTAGCGCGTGTAACGACATATTAAACCCCGTTAAGGCATGTTTTCTTTGCACATCCTGCACAATTCAAGAACATCCTGGGACGTCCTAAGTGGTCGTATGGCACAGTCGCTATACTCGGAGCAAGCAGAAGATTGCAGGTACTATCGCGGTATGTCAATGTTCTACTTGCAACTCGCTGACAGCCGGTGGTGCTACGTGTGAAGTTCTGGAAGTACGTTACTGAAACATCGCAACTGGCATTTTTCGTGGGTTTGACGCTATGCACTCCGTCCTGACAATTGCGTCGGGGCATATCGGGGTGCGTCGCAAGCGTCTTTTCCGTCATGTCAGATGCACACTCAAAGAATCTCAAAGACGCATCGGTCGGGATGCACGACATGGATCGACATGCCAAATCTGGCTTACACGGGTTTCTTTCAGCTTGCTTGCACTTCTCGTCTCAGTGCTCACGTCCGGAAAGTTTGATACGTTCTTTCTCCAAAGCGTGGCGAAGGTGCTTTTCCCGCGAAGCTGGTTGGAGCTGGTTTGGGTGGCATGTGATGACGTTGTTTGGATGGCATGATGTCACGCTGTTGACTTGAGCAGGACTGGAGGTTGAGGTTGCATGGCAAAGGTTTTCCCGAGGTTGGTTGGCCGTCTGGGTTTTCGCGAGGTTGCCGGACAAGGTGCCGCGTGTGTGGTGCCGTTACGAGTCATTCGTGTTCCCGATTGACAACCCTCTTTGTGCCACGGGGTGTCCGTTTCCGGCGGTCGCGGCGATCCATTGTGAGTTGTAGTACATTGGTCTCCACGTTGGTCTCGAATTAACAACCATCGCGATGGACACGCTGCGACACTATAAATCCCAAACGTTGACTTGACGTTGTCGCAAGTTGACAACCCTCTCGGTATTACCGGGGTGTCGGGGCGCTGAGCATGTGGTGCCGAGTATGGCGCGACAGATTGTGGCCGTGCTCCTGAATCACGCAAGTATGTGGGGGAAGCATCTTTGTCATGTCTGCGAATCCGTCGATAATGGCAGACAGTAGATCCTGAATCCCAGAAGGGTCTATACTGGGGATTTTGAGCGTACGCCGGCTACAGTTTATGAAGTTTTTGTGAGAATACCACGAAGCGCAGGCTCAGCACCGCTGAGGTTGCTGCGCAATGAAGGCTGCGCACCGTCTCTTTCTGGCGCCACGTCTTGCTTTCTTCTGGCAGCTGCCGTACGGTAGTATAGCATGTGTTCACTTACAATGACAAGGTGCAGTTCCCATCATACCATACGCACAAGATGAGCCTGATCTGCAAGCCGTAATTATTATGTCACCCTCCCCATCTAGCAATCTATCTGAAAACTTTGACGGACTTCCGTAGCAGGTGGGCTGATTTCAACTCTTTGAACCAATTGTCTCACGTCCTGAGCAACGCGCTCAAGCCTACAAAAGCTTAAGAAGGAGCTTTCAAAAACAAGTCGGTCCGAAAGGAAGCGTTTCAAGGCTCAGGCTCAGGGATGTGTGCATTGGTCACCGCAGCCTTGTCATTTGTGCGAGCCCTGGTTTTAGCCTTTTGCGGACTCCGCCATTGAAAAAACTGCGGCAAACCTGATAGCAGCCACGAACCCGAATGCAGTTGCGCGCCCGATAGCAGCAGGATTATCAGTTCTAGGTTTCGCGACCAGGACCCCCTCCATCCCCGTGACTGTTGACACTTTTGGAACGCGAGGTCCAAAAAGTGACGACAGTTCTGCGTTTCGCGCCGATTTTCGGCTCCAGCCAAATCCGACACTCGCGGAAACTCCAAATCCCCTTAGACTGTCGCGGTTCCAAACACACGTCCAGCGCCGCCGAGGAGCCGAATGGTGCGGCCCTGCGACGACTTCGGAGCCCTCGAGCGACTCCAAACCCAAAAAACGAGCGGGACTGTGGCGAGAGCACGA